CATCCCGGGGTTGTTTGACACACACACACAAAAAAAAAAAAAAAAAAGGAACAAATTCCTACAGGCTACCGCACCATATCTAAAAAATCAAGAACTCCTAAGTGGGGCCCTGCCGCCGCGCGCACGCGTCTTAGCAACGAAAAGTTGAAAACAAAAGAGCTAAATGGGGAAGAACCTTAAGAAGTCAAAAATATCCTAATCCTAAAAGAAGTCAAATAGCCGAACCCTAACAATTCCAACTAATTCCAGGATAAAGATTGTCACCAATTCACCGAAAAAGAGCAAAAGAGGAAAGTATCTTGCCAAGAGAACAAATTGTAAACAAGCCCTAAGAAAGAGTAACAAAGTAGAAACCAGTCCAGCAACAACAAGGAATCGCACCATAGAAGCAAGTCTTAGCTAACCTTAAACACGAGGAATGTGAGAAAAGCATCATCACGCCAACAGGGCAAACACAAGCGATCCCTGAAATCAGTCGAAGGAAAGCAAAGGACCTCACCGGAGGGGCAAGTCTTTGCAAACCCTAAACGTTATAAAAGGTGCGTAAACACATCAAAAAAGTTGTGCGAAGTAGAATCGCCACCAGAACAAGCTCGGCCACTAATCTGGTCCTTCATATCCATTAAACAAGTCACGGTCAAACAACAGGAAGCAAAAGTCTCCACCAGCAAGTAGTATTTACTCCTGGCAAATCGACAAGGCGTACGGAAAACCAAAATTCTCCTGGCCAAGTAGCCTGACGTACGAACGACCAATCTGCACCACCAAGGCAGAGCACAGCCATCTCGACAAAGCACCTTGATTGCATCATTCCTTGTTGCTGAAGTTGGCACAGCAAATAAGCTTGGTTGATGCAGGACAAAAACTTGTGCACTCATGTCTCCCAATCTGCAGACCGAACGAACGCGCGATCGCGCATCGATGTTGATCGCATATAGCATGTAAGTAGTAGAGAGTAATCTCCATGCAATGACACAACCAAAGTGTGATATACACTCAAAGGAGAGGAAAGGGAGCAAGACAGACACGACAAAAGGGAAGAAGAGTAGAATAGAAAGTAAAAGCCCCGAGCGCATCAGCTCGTAATGAAAAAGATATGGCGTTTCCGCCATGACATGAAGCACAACACTGGCGATGAAACCCGACAGCTGTTTCGTCTGGCTCGCCAGAGAACCGGATCTTCTCAGGGGCGCGTTGGGTATTGGATTAGACGAACTAGATAGATTTATACTATAGTGAATGAACTAGGAACGAGTCGAAAAATGGTAACCGCTCGGATCCAGACCCGAAGGCCGTCAGAATGCTTGAGAAACTAC